GCACAGCGGCGGTCAATTTTGCCTTGGGGTACACCGGTGAGAATTGACTTTACGAGAGAAAAAATTACGCTGCCCACCCCCAAGTGCAGCTTAATTGTTATGCTGAAAGTTTTGCGAACAACGGCGACGATTTAGGCTTGGCTTCGGACGAAGTCCCTCAGGGCTACCAAGAACAAAAGGCTATCCATTTTTGCTGAAAGTGAGATGTTGAGCCGGAACAACAGACCATTTCTTGATACGGTATCTTAGATATAGAATAATTACAAATTCACACATAGAATGGAACTTCTCTGCGAGTTTTAAGATTATTTCTAGTCCAATATTTTGTTTAATATCGTTAATTTATTGTTCTCAGATATGAAGCAGCGTATTGTCAAATAACACCATTATTTACATACCTTGAGCAATTTCCTCGAACTTATCTTGAACGGAAGATCTAAACGTTTTGCAATTTCCTTTACGGATGTTGGTATCGATACTTAGTTGTTTATTCAGTTTTGCTGTAAACCTTAAAGTTCACCTGCTATTATTATCGCACTGTGAGCATATACAAGCAGGCACGTACTGTATACTATTTGATCTACCTTGATTTTACCTTGAGTTACCCCCTATTAACTATACCCTGAGTTACCTTTGAGCTATGTACCACGAGGTTTAATCTAAAATAAAGAAGACAAGAGAGTTCCAGATCTGTGAGAGTCCTTGCTGATTTACTGTCCGGCTGACGAGAGACAACGACCCTGTACCTTTGGCATTGAGTAACGAGTGCCGTGCAGCGAGCCTGTGCTCTTCCAAGCTTTCCCTAAGACAAGTCCGTCCGCCGTTATTCCTGTATTCAACAGCACCCAAGCTGATAGCCCATATCCGTCCCTAACCGCGCAGTTCCGCACTGAAAACCTTTCGTTACATATGTCTCGTTTATTTGAAATATTTTTTTCCTTTGTTTCAGTGGTATGCCTGTAAACTAGCTAAGCTTAGTGTTTGTATAACTAAGTGCATGACCACTGTAAACAAGATTTACATTTACAAGTGTCACGTACTAATTTTTCTCTCATCGCGCATAAATTCTAAGCCCTGTCCAAACGAGTAATGTCAGGCGATCAAACACGATCAAACATTGTCAGGTTTGGTGACCAAACATGTTGACGTTGCACTGAGTGGCCAAACGATATCAAACATGTTTGAACGAACAAAATGTTTACAATGTTTGACGTCGCGCAAATTTTAACAAGCACGATCCAACAAGGTGTCCAAACGGTCACCAAGCAATGTTTGATCATGTTTGATTGCCAAACATTTCCCGTTTGGACAGGGCCTAATATCTATAATAAGTAGCTAGTGTGCGAGCAGGCGTACATTTACGTTAGGATCACATACGCGCACAGCGTATTTCATGCGCGAGCGGGGACCCAAGAGGGTCCACGATACGAGGAATCGTGCAAGTGTTTCTCCCATCTGTAAATTTTTCAATTTCACTTTACCTTAGCCCAGTAAAATACCATGCCTGTAAGGCCAGGAAGATGAGAAAACTGTGGATCACCTGCGTTTGATGGGAAGCCGTTAGATCTAATCCTGCCCGACTGACATGGTTATTCATCGGTTTGTTTCATAACGTGAACATGAAGGTAGAGCCAAAGTTGACTTCGTACATGTCGGCAACACCCTGCAACACGAGGCAACACAACGAAAACTATAGAGTTTCTGTAAGTCTGTACGCGTTCTCACTGACACACCTACGCGTACGAATCAATAGGCCACGTTCGATATATCAATATTCTAACATCGATCCGAAGCTTTGGGGTCAAAATTGCAATTTTTTAAAGTTTCCTTTGTCTTTCAATTCCCAAAAGAGACTTGGATACAAAGAAAATACCACCAAACATAGAAGTTTGTCCTGAAAGCCTCGGAGCCATGTTAGAATATTGATATATCGAATGTGGCCTATCACATTCATGTCGATCATGCCTAAAGAGTCATGTCGCCCGAGGTCACCTCGCCCGAGACTAGAGCCAGGTCGCCCGAACTCTTTAGATGTTACCCGAAAATGTTGAGTGATGTCGCCTGATGAAATATCATGTCTACTAATCAGGAGAGAGTTGAAGTATAAACTGATAGCGAACCGATAAAATATCTCTAACCAAGTCTCAGTAATTTCGGTCTGAATTTTGAAAGTTTCATTATAAACAAAAGTTAAATCGACATACTGAACATACACGCTTTAGACATAATCCAGCACTAACAATGTTTTATTCCATTCAATTTACTGTTTTACCAAATTTACAACAATGACAGCTAAATGATAAGTAAACTAAGTGTTACACCCTGAAATAATTGTCCTGAAATCGAAGGCGTCTTGCCGACTCGTGCCCAGATTAGCGGGAACGTATGGCGACAAGCTATTGCTTGTACGTTAATTTTAATTAATACCTTACGACAATATAAATCGAAAGCGTAAAAAAACTGGCTAAACTTAGTAATAAATCCAAAAATCTCAGTTCGTTATCAATATATCCAACAATAACAATACCAACCTTTTACAATACTTTATCCTTGATTCGAATACGGTGAGATGATACATTATGTTTGTGTTTAACTATGCCTCAGAAATGTCCTAAAATCGCATAAAACCTGATTAACTTACTAACATCAACAGATTAACTCTCTCTGGCTGGGCCGGGCGTCAAATGGGAGCATGCTTTACACACGTAAGTGATCCTCTGGCTGAGCACTTGTTTGAGGCGTAATCTTCCCAGTTCGCAAAGAGTTTTGCTTGCAGGTTTGGATATGTGCGGCGCTGTACTCCCTGCAGTTTCCGGGTGTTGACAAGGTGAACTTGCACGGTACAGATGGCGGACTCACGGGCTCTCACGATACAGCAGCTGAATAAACAAGTACAGCAGGACAATATTTTATGAGTACTTAACGGGGTATGTTTTAAACAAACGTTTACGCTGAAACGTTGGAACTTCAGACCGTAATTTCCATCGGGCGACATCGGGCGACATGACTAAAAATTTCAGGCGACCTGGCTGTAGTCTCGGACGAGGTGACCTCGGCCAACATGACTCTCGGGCGACATGACAGGTTACCACGGGTACGCGTGTGAGTGCACGTACACTCGTACAGTTTCAATAAACACGTGCTCTTCGTGAGTATTCTCAGGCTCGCATAAGCCCATACTTAGCCCGTGCCGCTCGCACACAAATGCGCAAATGGCTTGTACCATTTAAATTTCTGCCCGCCCTAGTGTCCAAGCCTGATAGCGTAGTAGCCGGTGACCAGTTGCTTTTAAATGTTCAAAGCTTTTATGATATCTCTTCGGTATTGCCGGTAAGTACCTGTTGCGGAGTTTACTCTTTTAAAAGGCCCGGCCATTCGCACGCGCAATTTCAACCTAACATATTGCATCATTGAACAATGTTGTAAGATGCTGTAAAAGAGCTGGCCAAACACACTCAATAGTTCAGATGCAACCCAACAGAAGACATATTGCGTGTTTCTATCGAGTTTTAGTAGAACTCTACTAATTGCGTTCGCAGAACGCAGTTCACAATCTTGGGCGTCCTCTGGTTTCAAGGGTGACTTCTTTTGAGACTTTTTCGTCGAATGTCTGCATTTTCTACGCCATTTTGAATGACGTCATATGTCGTACGTCGTATGTGCGAAGACTATTGCGCACCTCATGGTTGTCGTAGTGGTTTATAGTTTATTTTAAATGTTTACGAACACGATTTTGAATCGCCTTGTGAACAGCTATATTTCATTGGCTGTAGTTTGATTGCATTTGTTGATTAGTTAATTCCAGCTCAGTGTTTACCCGGTCGAATATTGTTCGCTCGAATATTATTTGGAATCGATGGAAAAGTATTCTCAAGGCAAGATCCATGAGAGTGAGCCTGAACTATGGAACGGCAATGTAAAACTACTGTCTACGTTTATTCCATACAGTGGCTGGAGGTCGTTTACTATGAATCGTGGCGTTGTCTCATTTCCTCGTAGTTTCGGAGAAGGATTGGCAGACATTACTGAATGATACGATTTCCGAGAGGATTAAAATCTCACTCAAAATTAATATTCTCTATAGAGCAGATTAAAATTCTCGAAATTCTTTAATGAACTCGAGATTTCTGTGAAGTGATAGTTGATTCGGCCCCCGGGATTCGGCCTTCGGTCGGCCTAATCAATTCTGAGGATTACCTTGTATTTAAAACATCTTGAGTTCATAATCTTATTGTTAAATAGAAACGCTCATGGAAGTTTGGGGGAATGAAAAATGCTGCAGGAAGGCGAGCCGCAGACAAGTTTTTCCACAGCTTTTTCGGGATCTCAAAAAATTCAAAAAATTGTTGGCACGAGGTGATAGTTGACCTCATCAATTATCACCTCAGGAATAGAAAGCCTAATTCTAATCTAATTCTGACTAATTTCTTTCAAATTAGCGGTTCCCAATTATTTTTCTACATATCTTCTTAAAGAACATGAACATGGAACAGTAATGGGATACCATCTTTTATTTGGTAACTAAAGTGTGCTCCATCTGGCGTTCTGTTTTTATCATTGCGCTTTGTGCCGCTCGTCAACCACAATCCAGGGTTTACCAACCAAGAAGTCAAGGGGAGTGATAAGCCCGTTCAATGCTCTACTTGGTAAATATGCTAAACTGGTCCAAGATGACCAAGATGAATGATAACTGATTTTATAAATATAAAGAATACAACCATAAACGATATATAGTGGGCAGGATTTGCTGATCGCATTAGGACAGTTTAGCCTTCTATATAAANTCACAGTTTTAGATCAGTTTTCGCTCCTCACTGAAGCGGTTGTCAACGTGGCCATGCCGCCAACCAATGAAACGCAGCTTTAAACTTTCCCAGCGGGCTACAGTAACGCTTCCCGGGAATGAATGTGCAATGTTTACATTTACAGTATATCTTTACATCGTCTGCCGTGAAATATTCAGCATCTAAACCGAATCAGCAGATAAATGGTAAAGAAGGAAAAGGGAAAAAAGACGAATGCTAGCGGAATAGCCTTGAACAGGCGTCGAGTGCAGATATTTACACATTTACGAAAACAGCTAAACGCGCAATTCATCGGCCTGTTTGTTTTTGTAGAATATGGAAAAACACTCTATGAAGTAGGAGGAAGAAGCGTTTGGAGCTGTCTTGTCAGACATCAGCGGTTAAATTCGTCGGTAATTCCGCGGCAATCAACTTTTGTGCCAGAAGAAGCTAGAGCAGAGCATCGACGAAACATTCGCTTGCGATTTGCGCTCACGTTTAAATGTGGAAATGCGAAGCGCTTAGTCTATCGCTTAAGAGACGAAAACAATCAACAAAAACGAAGATTTCTCTGCGAGAAATTGCAAGACGTAAACAAAAGAAGCGAAATACGACTCCGCGGATGAGATCAGTTGCCGCGAAAATTGTTACTGCTCAACTCAAAGGTTGACACATTTTAATTCGCTTATCACAGTTTATGGTTCATTGACTCGTTTTAAGAATTTACGTTTTTGAGGATAACTTGTTCGCGTTTTAAGTTTTTGACATATTTTTTTTGGAAAATTCAGATAAAGTAAAAGTCTTGAATTTGGTGTAAAAAAATAATTTTGGACAAGATAGGCCCTTGAAGGTCTACAGTAACCTTAATCAGTTAACACGAGTCAAATGTAAAGTTAATTCCAGTTAATGTTTTTTTTAATGTCATCAGCAAAAATTGCGAACTGATTTAGTCCCTGCTCGTTGGTCTATTTCAATCATAGGTAAAAAGACGAATAGGAGTATTTCTTTTAATGATGACCAATGGTCAAAAAATATATATAAACCCCGCTCAATCATTTTTATCTCTCCAAACTCCCCAGAGACTTCAAAGAAGACGAAGTAAAACTTGAAAGAAATTTGTCAATTTTTTTCCCTCAACTTTTTTTTTTTCATCGCTTGAAGTGATCAAAAGTTTGTAGCTCACTTGGTGCGCACTTTTCAGTAACACCGCGTGTTCATATTAAAATGCAGTCATATATGCACCAACGAGAAAAAAATGGACAAATATTAAATCAATGAACAAAAACTTTGGTCATACGCTACGCTAAACCTGTTTTATTTTCAAGCGTGGCGTTTACCGTCTACGCGTGTCTCCGAAAAAGAGTGCCTGTCGACCTGATCGCAAGTAATGCGCCGAAATGTTTACGACGAGGAAAATGATAACGGTCGGGCAAAGTTCAGTTTCTCTTTTTCTTAAAAAAAAATATGTACGTTAAGTTCTGCAGCACTTAGAGTTTGTTTTCCTTTTGTTTGTTTTTTTCCTCAGTGCCACAATAAAAAGGCGTGACTTTCACTGACACATAGATTTACAATCACTGGATATCTTGGCAGGATAATGAGGCAAGTGGCGCATATATCCTTTGTATTGGTATTCCTGGCGACTGGCATTCAGTCTCGCCCTTTGGATGAACGTAAAAGTAACGGACACCCAACCGACCCAGGATGCTCCCCTCCTCGCTGTCTTCACGAGTCAAAATGCTATGCCGATGGGGAAGAGATGAGCAGAAGATCTGACGGGAGTGGTGGGTGCCACGGCCTCCTTTGTAGCCATGGCCAAAGTGTTGCATGGGATGACTTCAACTGTGGTCAAGCTACAACTGTGCCTGCAACAACACCAGGTGGTTGTTTTAAAGAGGGAGTTTGGTACCCCAAGGGAAGTGAGATAAGTCGAGGATCGGACGGCCAAGGATGGTGCTATGGGGAGATTTGTGGCGATGATGGAAAAGTACAGTCATGGGACGACTTTCATTGCGATCGAACTACAACCGAACAACCAACCACTGTGATCTCCACAACCTACCCATCTACCCCTACCCCCACACGCAAAGGGTGCTACTATGATGGTGCTTGGTACCCACTAGGAAGTTACATCCGTAATGAGTCAAATGGCCAAGGATGGTGCTATGGATTGTATTGTGACCATCATAGTGGGATCATTGTATACGATAACTTTAATTGTGACCCAAGTATCACTCCTAGACCTACCACTATCCCATTGGGTTGTCTCCAAAATGGCATTTGGTATCCACCAAGCAGCGACATCAGTCGAGGATCAGATAGCAATGGATGGTGTTATGGACAGTATTGTGACGAAAATGGCCACGTTGTAGCATGGGATGACTGGAATTGTGGCCCAGTGACCACAACTGAAACCCCTAGCTCAACCCCTTCCCCACCTCCTGCCCCAACCCCTTCCACTTCTGCTACTACTACCCCACTAGGTTGTCTACAAAACGGCATTTGGTATCCACCAGGCAGTGAGATAACCAGAAAATCAGATGGTAATGGATGGTGTTATGGACAGCTTTGCGACCAGAATGGACAGGTTGTGGCATGGGATGACTGGAATTGTGGCGAAATGACCATAACAGAAACCCCTAGCTCAACTCATTCCACTACTCCTACTCCATTAGGTTGTCTACAAAATGGCGTTTGGTATCCGGCAGGCAGTGAGATCAGCCGAGGATCAGATGGAGAAGGCTGGTGTTATGGAGAATATTGTACTCGTGATGGTAAGCTCCAGCTATGGGATGATTTCAATTGTAAAACTTCCCCGCCAACAACTCTCCCTACAACTTCGCCCAAAGGGTGTTACTATGAAGGCAAATGGTACCAAACTGGCATCTTTGAAGGAACTAATGTACGCGGGTGTAGATATGGAGCACAGTGTGGTTTGAATGGCCAAGTGACAAGATGGGAAGAATTTGATTGTCGGCTCTAATTATCAACTGCAATGTCGTGCTTGGCCAAATAAATACAACCATGCATTTTAACACTGATTTTGCTAACTCTTTTAAAAAAGGAAAGAAATCTTTGATTCAAGAATTGAAACACGTTGTAATGTTTGGCTTCCTAACCTCTTGTAAATGTGACCCTAAATTCTTAGTCTGTGAATTACAGTGATCATTTAATTAAAGCTGTTAGGCAGTAGATGTGCTTTCAAATACTGTTGATTTTTCAAGCTAGTTCCAAAATTTATGTCTATATCTATATATCGAAGGTAGATTGGATAAAAATCTAATGCGTGAAAATTTATTAAAAGTTATCGAGAAGTTCTGTTGTTTACATTTATGCAGTTCTGAGCACAGTTTAACTTTTATGGCTGTGTAATTTTTAAGAAATAGAAAACCTTTTGTGTTTCTA